CAAAATAATTTTTTTTTTTTGGGGGGGGGGGGGGAGAGGGAGATGAAGTAAACAAAAATAAATTCTTTTATAAAAGAAATTTAAACAAAAAAAAACTTTAAAAAATGCGGGGGTGGGGGGGTGTGAGAGGAAGTGTGGAGTGGGGTAAGAAAAATATTTTACATTTTATTTATAAACGAAATATTATTTTTTTGGATAATAATTTTTTAATTTTTGTTAAAGTTGAATGTTTTGTCCATGTGGAGTGTGATGTGATAATTTTTTTAAAATAAAAGAGAGAGTGTATTACACACACCATGATAAGAGTGGTATAAAAGAGAGAGGTGTGTTTCTTAAACTAAAAAGTGATAGTTCATGTATGAAACTCAAAAAACGGGTATAGTTTAGGTGTGTTTTTAAAACTTATCTCTGTATATTATTGAATCTCCTTAATAAGTATAAATCACTTACCAATTTTTAGATTTTAATATCTACTACGTACATATATCTAATATAAGATTTTGTTATTTTATATAATCTTATATAGGACTTTGAAGTTTCCAGCTGTGGACATATTTGTTACAACAGCAGATCCCGTCCTAGAACCGCCTCTCATAACGATAAACACCGTGTTATCGTTGTTAGCGGTGGATTATCCGGCTAATAAGCTAGCTTGTTATGTCTCAGACGATGGTGCATCAATTGTTACGTATTATTCACTTGTTGAAGCATCAAAATTTGCTAAGCATTGGGTTCCTTTTTGTAAGAAATATAATATTGCCCTTAGAGCCCCTTTTCGATATTTTAGTGGTAACTCATCACCACCACAAGATAGTTCACAAGAGTTTCAACAAGATTGGACAAGAATGAAGGTATGTATATTATATAGTTTCAACATAAAATAAATAAAAACAATTACATAAATATATAATTTATCACTTTGCTATTTAATGCTTTCATTGTTTTTATTACCCATTTATTTATTTACTCATAAAAACTCTTTCGGTCTACGAAAAATATGAGCTGATATGAAGTCAAATTGACTAATGAGTAATTTTATTAAAATATTTTTTAAAAAGATATGTTTTTATTTGATAGGTCATACAGCCATAATAAATAATTAAAACATTTATTAGGTACTAAAAAATTATGCAAGAACAAATAAACTAAAGTAAAACTTAGTAAGGATCGAGAACTGTATTTTAGTATGTTTATGCGTGTCCAATTCATTTTAGCCTAAGTAATTTTTGATATGCTCAAATTCAGTCCAATCAAACTCTTAAAATGTAAATGTAAAACAAGAATATGATTTTTACACAATAAAAGTAGGGAACTTTAATCTTTGTTTTTTTTATATAAAATAAATTTTAATTGATACAATCATTATATGATATTTTATATTTTATTGTAGATACATGCAATGAGTATATATAAAGTAAATTAAATTACTTTTTGTCTGGAAATTGCAGGATGAATATAAACAGTTGTGTAAAAAGATAGAAGACGCAAGTACTCAAGAACCAGAGACATGTGATTTTGATGTTTTCTCAAATATCCAACAAAAAAATCATCCGACCATTATAAAGGTTTTTCAGTTATACTCCTTTCATCCTAATTTATATCATATATTTTAATTTAACATGAGATATAAGATTATTTTTTTGGAAATTTATGATTTAAAATAAGTCATATATATTTTATTATTTGATAAAATGATATTTTAAAACTTATAACTTATTACTAAGAGAGAAGATGGATGTTTTGTTTAATTTTCTTTGGAAAAGTTTTCATTTCCTCTCTAAATTCAAATATTACAAGATCTTTTTTAGACTTTCCATTGTAAAGTTGCCACCTATCATTTTTGTTTGTAGTATTTTAACACTAGGCATGTAAATATAATTAAAATATCTATCAACATGCTTGATTTTATTCCTATTTTTCATCATATAAATTCAAAATAAAAGTTTGATGATTATTACTATTGTGGGTCCCATCGAACCTTACAAAATTGTTTATATATAATGTAAGGTCTAAATTTAATATGTTTTGACGTATATATATATTCTTTACTTAGTCATTTTCAGTCAACTTCAATTACAACAATTCATTTTCTGTTTTATACTGACATTTTTTTATCCTTGAGAAAAAAATTCCTTTTATTTTTCATATCCACCGAATGTCAAATTAAAACTAGACAATATATGTCCAATAGCTTTTCGATTATAACGGCTGCCGTTTGGACATGAATACTAGTTGATATTTTCTCTATTTCAATTTATTTGCTGGTTTAACTTGATACGGAGCTTAAAAAAGTGAAAAAGATTTTTGAATATTAATATAATCTGAAGCTAAAAATATTTATATAGAATGTAATAAAATATTTTTTAATCTTGCAGTCTTAAACATGTCACGTGAAAAATTAAAATTAAAAATTGTTAAAAAGGAAAACAAACATTTTTTTAAAATTAAAAGAAAAAGTAAGACAAACAAAGTTGAAACATAATGAATATTTGTTTTACAATTTTCTCTGTTATTTCAAATTTAGCTTGGGAGAATTTGTAGTTGAAAACTAATTTGTAAAGTATTTCAAGTTTCAATCATTTTTCAATTAAAATTCATATTCAACCACTATTATTAAATATATTTAAATCTTCAATAATGTTTTTAATACTCTTTAGAACTTTCACAATAATACTAGCTAGATTATCCTTCAAATAAAATAAATAATTTATTATAACAAGTTAAATTACAAAATATTTTACAATATTTGTAAATGCATAACATATAATTTAATGTGAAAGGTTATATTGGAGAACAAGGAGGGTGTTGCTGATGGATTGCCTCATCTTGTGTACATCTCTAGAGAGAAGCGACCAAAACATCCACATCAATTCAAAGCCGGCGCCATGAATGTTCTGGTTAGATCCGTTGAATTTTGAAATTTTATGATCAAACGTATTTTTGAAGTTAATTCATTTTTTAAAAAAATTATCAAATAAATGTTCCTTTTTTTTTTGCTCTTTATTAATTTGTACATATTTTATTTTGTGCATTATAAACAGACTAGAGTATCTGGAGTGATGACAAATGCACCATTCATGCTAAATGTGGATTGTGACATGTATGCAAATAACCCACAAGTTGTTCTACATGCCATGTGTTATTTTCTTGGTGCTAAGGACGAGATAGACTGTGGCTTTGTTCAATTTCCACAATTCTTTTATGATGGATTGAAAGAAGATCCTTATGGAAATCAATTAAAAGTTTTACACGAGGTAAATTCAAATAATAAATTTAAAAAATATTTGTTAACTAGATTCTAAGACCAAACTTTCATTGATCATTATAGATTTTGTATGCATAATACATAAATATGTCTTTTAATTTAATTTCAACTGATATCTACGTCCACTTACTTTGATTGTGCATAAGTAGACACTTAAACTTGTATAAAATTGAACAAAGAGACACATTCGTCCTATATGACATTCTACATAGCAATTTTATGTCCTACGTGGCGTCCTATGTGTATGGTGTTACGTAGGATACCTGTGTCTACTTGTTCAATTTTATACAAGTTTAAGTATCCACTTGTACACATCAAAGTTGGGGAGACAGATGTCAGCTGAAGCTAAGTTAAAGGACATACTTATAAATTATGCCTTTTAATTATTTAATATTTTATATTTATCTTTTGCTTATTATAGTATTTTGGAAGAGGAATTAGTGGTATTCAAGGGCCATTTTATCAAGGATCGGGATGTTTCCATAGACGAAAAGTTATATATGGCTCGTCACCATATGAAAAAATAACTGCAGGTATGCAAACTAACCTTTTTTTATAAAAAGATAATATTATTGGCTCCACTTTATTGGACACATTTATTTTTGAGAGTCAAATAAAATTAAAAAATTATCGCGGCATTTTGAAATAATTTAAATTATTAACTATTATGACTTATAAGATTTTGTTATTTAGTTTTTAAATATATGAATTTTCAAATGGTATATTTTAAAAAATGGAAAACTTACGTTTTATGTCTAGTAAGAAAAACGCTTTATGACACATATCCTCATATAATATTGTTTAACATTATACCCGGTTTAACCTATAAGTAGTCTATATATTATGTGGCGGAGTCAAATTTTTTATTAAGGGTGTCCAACAATAATGGTTTGTGATTGTCAGAATAAAACAAAAAAATATTGTGTTATTTTGGGTTCAAACCTGGAACTCTTTCACTCAAATGGACACCCATTACCACTGCACCAAAGACATAACTTTTGTCAAGGGTGTCCAACTTTTAATATATATCTTTTAAATGTAGAATTTGACATGTATATATAACGTAATTTTTCGACAAAGGGTGTCCAATTGGACACCCTTGATTGGCTGTAGCTACGACACTGTATATATCTTGTAGTTTATGTTGATGATCTTATTGCTTTCGTGAGCTTATCTTTCATTTACAAGTTTTATTTCTATCGTATTTTTTTTCATTTAGGTGCGTATTCATTCGTTTTTAGAGTGTATAAAACCACATAGCGATTCATGCAACTTATTGTATTGACACAATTGAAAAATCATAATTTAACACTTTAGTAAGACATGTTAATTTCATGATGATAATTAGGAGAATTGAAGGATGAGTATATACAGAAAACTTATGGAATGTCAGAGAAGTTATCAACATCAATTGCTAAGACTCTCTTAGAAGGATCAAATATTATTGAGCAATTCAATTCTGATTCTCCCTCAAGTTCCATTGAGATAGCACATCAAGTTGGAAGCTGTGGATTTGAATTTGGCACTGCTTGGGGTCAAAAGGTAATTATTGATTCATTTTTATAAGTAATAGTTTAACTATTCATTTAACTAAAAAAATAATAATAAGTATTTTGCAGTCCCAATAAATGGTCTCTTTAGTATGGTATGATACAATTCTTACTTAATGAAATTTGAAGTTGAGTTAAGTTTAAATTCATTTCTTATCAGGTGATTTATAATAATGACTTTAAAAGAGTTGTCTTGAACTTTTGACCCTGCTTATTATCACAAGGGCAAAATTTCAAATTTTAAAAAATTGACTTTTGATTTGAAGGTTTTGCTCTTAGGATGAGAAGATTGATTAAATAAGTTTGACTTTAAATTTTAAAAGCTAAATTGTTAAAGTTTTTTTAGTGAAAGTCCCAAAAACTGGCCTAAGCTAGTTTTTGAAAATTTAAAAATATTTGAAAATCATATTTTTAGAATATAATTAAATTTCATGATAAATAAATATTTTTAAATAAGAATTTCTTTTTTCTCATAAAATCTATAGTCAAACGCTAATTCATCGTGCTATTTATCAGTTGGGCTGGCTATATGGTAGTGTAGCAGAAGATATCCTTACTGGACTCTTTATCCAATCAAGAGGCTGGAAATCCGCCTACTGTTTACCCGACCCGCCTGCCTTTCTTGGATGTGCACCTGCAGCTGGGCCTGCCTCAATGATCCAACAAAAAAGATGGGCTACTGGGCTTTTTGAAGTTCTCCTTAACAGTAAAAGCCCAATTATTGGAACCCTTTTTGGGAAGCTTCAATTGAGACAATGCATGGCTTATTTGCAGATCCAATTATGGGGCTTGAGATCCATTTTTGAAGTTTGTTATGCTATTCTGCCTGCATATTGCCTCATCACCAATTCCCACTTTTTACCCCAGGTAAGAATATTACAGATATTAAAAATAGGTGGTCTTAAACTTTTGATCCTCTATATCTCCTATATACATACATACATTCTAGGTCAAAAGTCGAAATTTATTAAAATTGAAGTTTTTCCTATAAGACAAGTAAGTTCAAAAGTTCAAGACCACACACCTCCAACACAAAATTTGGTCAATCGTCCTATATCTTTTCAGGAAATTTTACACTACAATTACTTTCCAACGAAACTCTCACAATAGAAAATTGAGATTTCTATACTGTATAACCATCACCAAATTAACCAATAAATGTATATATTGTTTATATTAGGGAAAAAGGTCTGAAATATATCCGAACTTTGACCGAAATTGCTGTAACAATACCGAACTTTGGAAAGGACCTTTTACCCCTGCACTATTTAATAGTATATTTTAAAGGAATATATGTGCCCACATGGACATCATAAAAATTGCATCATTATAAATAGTAACGTATCCACGTGGGCACATATATACCTTTAAAATACAACTATTAAATAGTGACAGGGAGGTAAAAGGTCCTCCATAAAGTTTGGTATCGTAACAACAATTTCTTCCAAAGTTGGAGTATTTTTCAAACCCTTTTCCCTTTATATTAACGTAAATATTAGACATATTTAACATTTTAATGTATAACTAATAAATAATTACTCTATAAATAAAGTGTACATGATTATACACATGTTATATATTGAGTATGTACCGATAATGACTACAAAATTTTGCTACATGTATATATGCAGGCAAATGAACTAAGTATAGTTATACCAGCATCAATCTTTATTATCTACAATCTATATGTTTTATCAGAGTATATTAGAGCAAATGAACCAATAATAGCATGGATGAACAATCAAAGAATGTGGAGGGTTAATGCTATGAGTGCATGGCTATTTGGTATTCTAAGTGCTACAACTAAATTACTTGGATTTTCTGAGACTGCATTTGAAATTACAAAAAAGGACCAAAATGACACAAATTCTGATATTGGAAGGTTCACATTTGATGATTCTCCAATTTTTGTGCCTGGAACTGCAGTTCTCTTATTGAATCTTAGTGCCTTGTTTATTGGAGTGTTGGATTTTAAGAAAGGGAATAATATTGAATGGGGATTAGGAGAAGTTATATGCATTATGTGGATTGTTTTTGTATTTTGGGCATTTTTGAAGGGCTTATTTGCTAAAGGAAAGTATGGGATACCAACATCAAGTATTCTCAAGGCAGGGGCATTGGCATTGTTGTTAGTCCATCTTTTCAAATTTAAACAATAAATTGTAAGAATATAATTTTAGATGTTACTTTTGAATGTTTGGAAGAATATCTTGTAATTGAATTTAAGTGTAAGTGTAATTATATAATATAACTCTTTGTTTAGTCAAATATTTATTTGGCTATCATGAAATTGATGTAATTGAGGATAGCAATTAGAATATCTAATTTTCCGAAAATTAATCATTTGTAACATAGTCATTAGATAAAATTACAATATTATATTATTTTACTCTATTACATACTGTTGTTTATCTGTATTACTAAGGACTCGAATTATAGCTTTGCAAAACTTTGTAAGATACAACGAAGTTTAAAGAATATATGCTTTCAGAATCAAAAAGTTAAAACCAATAAAGAAAGTATAGTCTGCAACAAAATAAAAACAATATTGAGAAGAAAAAAATCGAGCCCACTGAATGCACAATGTGTCGTTAAGGAAATTATTCCCCTCAAGTTCTCGAGGTTAATGTAATATATTCTATCAGGATAAAAAGATCTTACCACCGGTCTATTGGTACCTAAAACCACGGGTGTCAGCGAACCACTCAAAGGCAGTAAAGTACACTAGAATTCGTCTACGCAGAATAAGAAGAAGTTTAGAAAATCCGTTGCTGAAAATTGAGAGGAAACTCTTCTATTTATAGACAACAAAGGATAATATAAACATATGCTTATTGTGCTTTATAGGAAAGATCACAACTTTTCGAAAAAATTGCAACCTTTCGAAAAAATTACGACTCTTAAAAAAAATCACAACCCAATACATACAAAACTTAAATTTCTGCATAAAATAATATCCATTTTGGTCAAAAATAAAAGGAGTGTCATTTAATTTAGAAGGGGTTGAATAGTAAATACTACTGTAAGACATAACTTTTTCCCCCTAATTGTAAGAATCTACATAAGCCAAAAAATTAAATATAATTATAAATTTGTCCATCTCCTACTTAGTTTTCTTTCAAAGAATTGAGCAAATAACTCTTTTTTCTTTCACCTTTAAAAGAGAGTCAAAACATTTCTCTCTTTATTGTCTTCTTTCTCATTTGAAAAAAAATCAAAAGGAAAAAATTTTCCCTTACAAATTTTTATGGAGAATCTACCAGAGTCACCATTTTCGGATTCTGCATTGATATCATCGCTATGCAACATTTCTTCTTCTCCTATGGATATGCAACAAAATTCTCATGACTTAGATGGTCTCACTCCAAATCAGTTGGTGTTGTTACTCCATGATAGTAATCTTCGTGGAGAAGTCATGTATCAACTCATCAAGGTATATGAAATGTTTCAAATGCTTTTTTTTATATACATTTTTATTTATTCATTTGTATACATTTGATGTCCGTGTTAGTTTTTCTATATATGTGCTTGTTATGCATTTTTGAGATATGAAGGCAAAGGAATTTATAGATCTGTGATTGTTTTTATATGCTATTTTTAAAAGACCATTAAATTTCACATTGGATGAATTTTTGCTATTCGTTTGTAGAAATCACTCATATGATTATTTTTCTCGTGTTATATATTATTATATATCATATGTACCAAAATGGGCATATACAAGCCCTAATTAAGTGGTTCGCAACCTAGCCTAAGGGTAAGCATTTCAATTTTTCTAAAAAGAGAAATTTATTTAATTTTGTCAATAATAAAAATTAGGAATGTCATTTCTATAACTAGACAGATTATTAATGCAATTCTTGAGTAACATGAATACAATCATCTAAATTTTTCAACAAAAAAAATATACTGTTATTGTTGTAGGATGATGAGTACAAGTACTTTTGTGAATTTTAAGATGTACAAGTAAAATTATAAATTTATTTATCAATATGAGGGAAATTCCCATTTGATTGCAAAAATTAACTTTATTTATCAATGGAATAGGACTTCAATTTTAGGCTTCAATAACTTTATTAAAAAACTTCATTGACAATCATTAAAGAGTTTTGAAGCTTTGAAATCAAAGTGATTTCTCGCGAAATTGTTATTTATTCCGATTGAGTTGTTCCCGCAAACTATTGATGATATCCTTTGGAGTTTGTATCAAAATTTTAATTAGAGAGTTGGTTTTCATTGAAATTTCATATTGAAACTCGAAGAGAAAGAAATAAATAAATTGTATACAATGAAATACACATGACATACATAATAAATTCAACAACAAATAAAATACATACAACAACATAATTGTATATAAGTACTTACGTTGTATGTTTTAATCAAATTTGTACACAACAAAATTTGTACGCAAGTTGTACGTAAGTTAACCAAATTCTATACAATAACAAATGTATGTAAATCATATGTTTTGACCGAATTTGTATGAATTTTGTTAAAAAGATGCTCAATACTCTTTGAAACCCCTAAAATCTCACTAAGCCTGATAAAGACTATCCATCCAATTTCTATACCTATAGAAGAAAAAAAATCCCTTTTTTGTTTGGCATTATAGGTTAGTCTAATCCACCAGGTTAGTGGACTGGCTGAATTGAAGTAAAAACATCCAACTAGTGAGTTGTGTTAGACTGATGTTAGGACTAATCAAGATTGGGGTACATCAGGAGCCTAGGGGACAACAGGTGTCACCTCTACTAATGCCTACTAGAATCATAAGGAGAAAAATGTTGAAAGGGAGAAACAAGTGAGAGTTGTACCAACTGTACCCTTTGAAACTCAGGGATGATGTGACTTTTCTTTACTGGTCGTAGACCCCCTTCGTAGACTTCAAAGAATTCACGAATCCAAACTACGATTCGTAGAAATTTCTATGGCTTGTGTATTCCCTTCGTCAAATTCAGGCTTTGCAGTGCACCTTCAACATCTTGATTGCGATCCATAGACCTCACTAGCGAAGTTTATTTGAGGGGAAGTGCACAAATAACCAATTTAAGGACCCTAATTTAATGCATAGGCGAAGTTGATATGTTTTTATAAGTCTAATCACTTTAAATTCAATTTTAGACTCGTGAATCTGAAATTTCCAAAAACATTATTAGGACATACGTTTCGGACAAAATGGTCTAAAATATTCATATGAAGTTTCACTTTTTGTCAGAAGTTTTCCTCAAATATCTAATATTGGCTACAACTCCTTTGCTCTTCAGCTTCAAGTTTCAATCCAACCCTCCTTCATCGGCCCCAACACAAAACCAAGCACCCAGTAAATATAAATTATCTAACCTTAAATCAGCTATCATATGCTCAAAAAAAGAACATTTTTTGATTTTTTATTTTCATATAACTTAAATAATTGAGTGAAAATTAAATCACTTCTCTGGCAAAACTACCTTGATCAAAAGTGTTTTTTTTTAATTGAAGAAAGAACTTATTCTAGAGAATTGACGTGTTTGGTCAAGCTGTTAGGTAAAAAGTAAATATTATTGAGTAGAATCAAACTATTTTTTGAAAGCTAAAAAAAACATTTTCCAAAAAAAAACTTCATAACCTTAGTAAAACACAAATTGCTTATAGTGCTTGTAATTGTTAGATTCTGAGTTGGTGACTTTTGTTATATATTTCAGAACCGAGATACATGCGAAGATCTAGCTCCATTGCTGTGGAACACCTTCAATGTAGTTTACATGCTTTTGCTGGTATACCTCTTTTAATTTTCGCGAATTTATATTCTGTTGTATAATCTTAAATTGAATTTTTTTAGAGTTTATGCTAGAATTTTTTGACCTCTAGACTAAATGTTTAAAATGTTACAAAGAGAAAATGTTCGATACCATACATGTTAAATTATGTGATCATCTATTTAAAAAGGTTAGATGATTAGAGAGAATACATTCATAGTTACTTAATTATATCTTCAACATATTTTGAAAAGAATGCGTTTTTTCTCTCTCAAAAGTCCACGATGGTGGCTTTTGGGGGTTTAGGCATTGTCCCCAACTTGTAAATTAAAGAAGAAAACAAGTATATGGGGGAGGACATAGACCATATACTCCTGAACAAGAAAAAAGATGAGGTAAACCATCTCTTTGCTCATATTTGATAAAAATATCAGCTTAAAGAGCATGACATTTTTCCTAGGATAATTACCACATATACACGTGGATGTTATGTACAGAGACAATATCAATATATAACTATTCCTTTGTTTAAACCTGAAGTTAGGAATTCCTTGTTGATCCAAACTCAACAAAGCCCAGATAGAAGCAGGTAGCAAACTAACATTTTCTATTATGAGATTCTCTTACTAGGGGTGACAATTGGATGGGTTGGGTTTAATTTGGATGTGTCCTGATGGGTTAAGACAACAATGGGTCAAGACCCAACCCAATCCAAATTTGCTTGAGTGAAAGGATTGAGTCAATGGTTTAGATCACGGGTTATATAACGGGTCACGACCCAAACCAACCCAATTTTACTAAGCTTAATTATTTTATTTGTTTTTTTTTAACTATTTAGTACCTAATAAAATTATCTTTTTTCTTTATTATGCCTATATATAACATATTAAATTGAAAAAAAATTAAAAAAATATTTTGACAAGATTGCTCATGAGCCAATTCAGGTTACATATCAATCCAATTTTTAATGGGTTGAGCTAATGAATATGCAGGTCAATAATTTGCCCAAACTTAAATGGGTTGGGTGAGTTGAACGGGGTGGGTTTTCATTTTGCCACCCCTATGAGCTACCATATTGCCCTCTTTCTGTAAGTATGCACAAAAAATATTTTTTTCCCACTGGAAAACTTGGTTAGCCTTGATGTAGATCGTTTAGTTTATCCTGGTTGTTCTCTATCAGAGGTTAGGTCCCCAATCACACCGCTGTTTCCAATGATTCCACCTCCTCCTGGACTACCTGGATTACCTTATCATGTTGATCACCTGCTTAGCTATTTCAATACTGCTACAGAGTTCGTGCTATCCAAGAGGAGTATTAAAGATAGGAAAAAGACTGTTGATGAACATATGCATTGTCTTGGTCACCTATTTAATAATAAAGTTAGCAGACATCTTAGTATTATCAAATCTAGCACTACATCTGTTCTGTAAGTTTTGGTACTAAAATTGTACAATCTTATTCATCCATAGAGATACATATTTATAGTATAGAAAATTGACTAACTAGCTATCAGATCCCTTGATTCTGGCAGATTTGAGAATCAAGGGATGATTTTATTGATCTAATATCCTAACCTATTCAATAGCAAATCAGATATTATTTTATAAGATCAATTTAAATCCTATAAAATCATATCTGATCACACTTTAGATATTTACAAATCAACACTCCCCCTCAAGTTGGCATGTAAATATCTGTCATGCCTAACTTGCTTACAAGAATTTCAAACTTTGGTTTATAGAAGCCTTTTGTGAAAATATCCGCAATTTGCTGATTTGTTGTGACGAAAGGCATGCACGTTCCCTTCTTCAATCTTCTCTTTTATGAAGTGCCTGTCCACTTTAACATGCTTTGTTCTGTCATGTTGAACTGGATTGTGAGCAATACTTATGGTGGCTTTGTTGTCACAGTACAACCTCATTGGGAACACAAACAACTTTTTTAGTTCTTCCATCATCTTCTTGAGCCAAATCATTTCACAGATCCCATGAACCAAAGATCGGTATTCAGCTTCAGCAATGCTACGAGCTACAACATTCTGGTTTTTACTCCTCCAAGTCACGAGATTTCCCCAAATAAAAGTACAATATCCTGATGTAGACCTCCTATCAATAGTAGAACCTGCCCAATTTGCATCTGTAAAGCTTTCAATGCCTCTATCTTGACCTTTTCTGAAAAACAATCCTTTCCCCGATGAACTTTTCAGTTATCTTAGAATCCTGTAGACCGCTTCTTGGTGCTCTTCTTTTGGAGAGTGCATAAATTGACTCACTAAGCTTACAACAAAAGCTATATCAGGTCGAGTGTGTGATAAGTAGATCAACTTCCCCACTAGTCTCTGATATTGCCTTTGGTCAACTGCATTTCCTTCTTTGTTTCCAAATTTAATATTCGGATCAATAGGTGTTTCAGCCGGACGACAACCACTCATGCCTGTCTCTTTTAGAAGATCTAGTACATACTTCCTTTGTGACACCATAATGCCTTCTTTTGATCTTGCTACTTCCATGCCAAGAACGTATTTCAACTGACCTAAATCTTTGATCTCGAATTCCGAGGCCAACTGTGCCTTTAAATTCTTCATTTCGGGCAAGTCATCTCCTGTAAGTATAATATCATCAACATACACTATCAGGATATTTGTCTTTCCCTCAAGAGAGTGTCGAATGAACATGGTGTGATCTGCTTGCCCTTGAGTGTACCCTGTTTTTTACAAACTGAGTAAATCTCTCAAACCAAGCTCTTGGAGATTGTTTGAGCCCGTAGAGAGATTTCTTTAGCTTTCACACTCTAGTTCCATACCTTTCTTCAAAACCCGGAGGAGGATCCATGTAGGCTTCTTCTTTGAATTTTCCATTCAAGAATGCATTCTTCACATCTAGTTGTTGAAGGGGCCAATCAAGATTGGGAGCAATGGTCAGAAGAACCCTGATTGAATTCAACTTGGCAACTGGAGCGAATGTCTCAAGATAGTCAATTCCATAGGTCTAAGTGAACCCTTTTGCTACCAAATTTTCCAGCTAATTATAGTAGGCAAACATTGTACGAAAGTTTTGTGAATCTTATTCTTGGTTTTAGCAAGACATAAAAATTTGTCTAATGTTGCCAAATTTAATAGGGATGCCACAACTCGAACAAAAGTAAGACCAAACTTGATTAGCAATCTGACTCCTACCAAAGAAATGCATAGTAGTTTCCTCTACATGAGTATTGCAGCAAGAAAACATTGAGGGGTGTGAGAGCAACATCTGTATGAATTTTATTTTCCAGCATTCTAAGCATAGCGGATGATATCTTGAAAGGAATTTTTTTGTGCCAAATGATAGAAGAGGGGAAAGAATGAGGCTTGTGAGCTTTCATAATATGCCACACAATTTTACAAGAAAAAACACTTGTAAAATCAACAATCCAAGCAAAGGAATAACCATTGTCTGATTTTTCTTTCTTTCTTGTTATGTTCTTCCTTATGAGATTTAACTCGGCCGTCCCTTGCTATGTTTCTGCCTTGGATCTTGCAATAAAGACAATATCTTGGTACCTTTTCATACTCTATGTCTAGCCACTTACCATCTTTAGACCCATCCAACCTATGAAATCCTAGCTAGATTTTATCCGATCTTGGTTTAAATAGATCTACTTTGACCTTAACTTTAGCAACATTACCACGAGACTTAGAATATGTGGCTTGATCAGGTACAATGGCCACTCCCACATCACTTACCAATTTAGAGATGATATGCCACTTTGAATAGATGCCATGGTAATTGATGGACTAGATTAATCCACACAGGGACTATAGATGTTTCGTCATCCGGTTTGAAATCCGCAATCCACTTGAGTATTTTCACAGGGGAATCATCAATGTCCACAAATTCTTTATAGAGAACATGGTTATAGTCCACCTCATTAGTGAAATCTAAGTAGACATGTCGATAATCAAAGAAAGCAATCTTCACATACCCAATCAACTGAAATTGTCCCCTAATCTCATCCATTGTAGGCTTATCTCTATAGAACTTTCCATAAGAGTAAATTTGCATTCTTGTGCTATATTAATAAAGTAATTCTCGGCAGAAAAGTAGACCACAGGTTTACCTAAGTGAGTTCCATGCTGAATATCAACTTGCTGTGTTTTGTCATAGAGGTTGGATAGTTTGGCTTGAATCGCTTCTGTGAATGTTGGTTTAGAAACCGACTGTTCATTTCCTCTATTATCCGATGGATTGGTATGTTTCCTATCCTGATTTGTAGGCTTCATTTGTGTGCCATAGCTGTTGTTGATTTTGTGAGGTATTGTTTTAGTTGTTGATGTTTTGAGACAACTCTTGATGTTGTTAATAGACAATACTTTCTTTTTTTCCGTCTGATTTCTGTATTTTCCTATTGAAATTGGAGGATACTTTGGGTTGATTTTGAGGGAGTTGTGTTTTGGGATTGTTTGCATGCTTGTGTGAGTCATAATTCCCCTTCAAATTGTTGTCGGTATTGGGTTCTCCGGTAGAAATTGAAAGATGAGGGGTATGAATAGCAGGTGTTGTGGTGTTTGTTTGCTCAGGTGTTGTGGTTGAGAATGGGTTGCTGTCAAGTTTCCGTTGGGTGCAGCAGGTGGACCGGGGGTAAGGGTTCCCCTGTTTGCATGGTTACCGTTGGTGTGTAGAGTTTTAGAGAGAAGTGAGAGCAAAGTTGTTTTAGAGAGAGAAGTTCCTAGCAGCAAAAGTTTCTGGATGAAAGAACGCGTTTTGATGTGCAAGAAGTTGTGAATGCGTAATAATGTTTGTCTTATGAATTTCAGGAGGTCATATCAGTGTATTGGAAGTTGTCACCCCCAACGCTATCTATGAAGGAGTCAACTCGAGTGTGTAATGCTCTTGCTTTGTTTCAGGTCAGTGATATCCCATCAAACAGTGTACTTTCCCTTGTTGGTTTACAAGGTGCAAAACAGTTATTTTGGAAACTATTTCAAGCAAATGCTACGTTGAGAAAGGGCAGTTGTATAGAACCTTTTAACGAAATAGTGCTTTTTCAATTCTCTCAAATTGGAATCTTTACTAAGCCGATATTTCATGTTATGTTATATTTATATGTTCTCTATAACAGTCATTCTCTATAATAACATTTCACTATAACAATCATGTTTCCAGCATGAACCAATATTAAATACCTAGAACTGCATATTAACTTCAGTTAGTGGATCAGTATATGTGAGCAATTTTCTTAGAAAGGGTAAAAGAGTTGATTTCGATATCAATATCAACGTAATGCCATACAACTAAAAGAGGAAATTATTTACGAGTAATACCACTGATAAGTGTATGAACAACATATAATTCTCTAAGACTAACATACTCGGTGAATATGATTTTCAATTGTTACAAGTTTTTCAACAAGCTTCTGTTGAGATGAGGCCGTCATGAAATGAAGTTTTGATATTGTGTTATTACTTATTTCTTGACACCAATTTTCCGCCAGTTTGTTATATGTATCCACCTTATTCCTTTATGGATATATTCTACAGGTTATGGCTAAAAATCCAGAAACAAGAAAGGAGCTTATAGAAGGTACATCAGTTCATGAAATGATAAAATTGAAATGACTAGTAAGAGTGAATCAAGTTTTTGTACGAATATGGAAAGATTCAGGTGACTAGGTTTCAAAGTGAGTGGAAGAACAAATTCTTTCCACTTCAGTCCTCTTTTTCATGTCTTCAGTCTTTCAGAAAGATAAATTCGATTTCATTATCATTTTTGCGGTGAGAATGCAGATCATGCGCCTGCAAGTTCTTTTCGATGGAAATATGTCCTTTTAATGCTCTAGTTTACCTCAAACTCTAACTTTGTGCCTATAAGAAATGTTTTTACTGTTGTGTGAGAAACAGTTAACTCTTCCAGTAATTTCATTTTGCAGCTAAAATACCATGTTATTTCTACCCATTTCTCAAGCCTAGTGGAGACGACAAGCCTTTGGAGTATTTGAGGCTCACCAGCTTGGGTGTTCTCGGTGCCCTAGCAAAGGTATCCGTCCATTTGAACAAATATACACACGCTCTCTTCACTGTTGTCACTAAATTCATTTCATGGATTTAGTTTTTCCAGTTTTCTTCAAGATTGAATGTGTTCAGTACTTATACTTTGTTGTTTACATATGCCACAGAATCTCATAAAGTGGGGTTTGGGGAGGGTAGAGTAAATACATACCATACCTCTACCTCAGAGGTGAGGTAGAGAGGTTGTTTCCGCTAGACCCTCGGCTCAAGACAAAAACAGTCTAGAAATGTGATGCAAGTACAATAGACAATAGGTAGTAACAATAATGACAAATAGTAGCAGAACAGTACTGAAACAAAATAATACTATAATCAAAATACATGAAACCATAGATAGCAAAAGAAACCGAAGAACATGAAATTACAAGAGTAGTACTATGACTACCAGTAGTATGGATGCACTCCTACCTACTAACCTTCTACCCTATTTTGTATCTTTCACACCTTCCTATCTGAGGCCATGTCTTCGATAACCTGCAACTGTGTCGTGTCCCGTCTAATGACAAATAGTAGCAGAACAGTACTAAAACAAAATAATACTATAATCAAACTACATGAAACCATAAATAGCAAAAGAAACTGAAGAACATGTAATTTGACCACTGATCATACATTTGTAGAATTATTCTAATTTTTGGAAGTGCCTACTTCATGATTCTGATATTTTGTTTGCTGGTGCAGTTTGATGATCCATATGGACCAAAGGTTCTTCATTTTTTCCTGGAAACGGAAGTGGTTCCTTCGTGCCTGGAGTGCATTGATCTATGCGATGAACTGTCACGGAAGGTTAGCCTGCTATGTAATGATTTTAGGCTTAGAAGTTATGAGTTTCTTTTATCTACGTTCTTCAGAGTGGTTCTAAGGTAACCACAAAATGATGTATGTTAGTTTTATTGTTATTCATCATAAGAGGGTATCTGTATTACCTGAATAAACATGTATTTTTCGAATGAAAAATTGGAATATGGGAATAAAGTTCAAAAGTTTATGGGAGTAATCCAAATTTTAATAAGAGACATTCAAAATATAAAGAAGTAAACATAGGAATAAGTCAACGAGATTCAATATCTACTGTATATACATACAACAGTGTAATTATCTGGTGAATGGTGTTTGATGACATTCCTTCTGCTCCCCTGACTCTGCCCTGCATGCATCTAAGCCACATGGTATACCTAGTGCTAAAACATCCCTTCTAGCACGTGTGATATGTTTGTCACTCCTGATTTTCCATTCTGTTTTATAATAGTGTTTCTGAAAGACTTTTCTGGTTTATGGTGATATGTTGTTTCTCGCATCTTATATGAAATGAATGTTGTACATCCACACAGGTTGCAACTCTCATAGTTATGAAAATTCTGATGCAAGAGAAGGGAATGTCCTATTGTAGTGCTACGCCTGAACGCTTCTACTCGATAGTACAGGTCTTGTACCGAGTGGTGCAGAAACTTACTGAAAAACCTTGTTTGCTGCATCTAATGTATGTGATACAATGTTTTCTTAGTCTTTCAGAAGTATTCAAGTTCATCGGGTAAACATTCTTGTCCTTATTGCTCAAGTTTTATGTATAATTGTGATTTTCTTTATAAGTATCATCTATTTCTCTCTTGGGTTTATTGTTTGATCAACCTTCACAACACAGGCCATCTGAAGCATTCATACGCCAAGTTCCTCCTCAGCTATTTGACAACACCTTTAAGGACATTCTTCGTGTGAGTTCATCTGCTCTTCTTAGAAGACCTTAAATCTACATCGTCGATATACTGTCACAACTTCATGCGTATACTTGTAAAACTTTTGTATATGTCTTTGTAGGATGACCACGAAACGGCATGGATGTTGCAGGTGCTGCATTTCAATGTTTATGGACCTCTATTTTCCCCTGAATGAAGACAGTATCAACTATGAAGAATATTGCAATGCAGAACACAACAATTTCAAAGATTAAGGGAAAGAAGTGAACTTGTTTTGTAGGAAAAAACAATAAACAATGACCTGAGTAGCTTTTAAGTTAACTTTTCAACTGTTGAAACTGATACTTTTGCTCTGTTGTGTGCTGAATTGTGCCTTTATGTTCAGTTGGAATTAAGTTATATGTACTTGTTTTTTTTTTAGTATACCATTTGGTGTTTGAGTGAATTGTTTTTTTTTTTTTTTTATATATTTATTTTTGACAGGTAAAGGGGTTTTGGTTTTATTTTGTTAGAGTGGGTTAAAGTTCCACGGTGGTTAGGGAATGGACGGGTAATTTGCTATATGGACTTGGACCGTCCTTCCCTCGTAAAGTAACTTTTGGGGTTGAATTGAGAAAATAATCTCCCCTACATAAAACTCTTTAAGAACCGGATTGTTGATGTTATTGTGTGGTGGCATGATTTGTAAAATTTCAAAACATCTCTTCCAAGAAAGGATTAACTAAATAGGGAAGAGGTTTTTTCCAACAAGAAACCTTTTCACCAAGAAAGATCTAATTATGGTAGATAATCAGGGCAAATCTTCCATTTGCCTGATTTTTTTTATCAAAATAATCTTGATCATCTTTTTTCACACAATTTTCATATATCAAATATGTTACTTACTTACTTACCATGGTTAAAAGTTGACCTAAGCTAAAAATGGAGTCGTGTGTGTTAAAAATAAACACTGGTTAATAATATTGAAGTTGTATATTAAAAGTGAGTAGGATTAAAAGTGAAGCTCATGTGCTTTTTTTTTTAATTCTTAATAAAAAAAATAGAAAGTATATGGTCAAGACTCAAGACCCAAAAGGCCCAAACCTGAGAAATGAAACAACAAAATTAAATAACAAAGCAGTGAAACCCATTTGGAAATTGAATCCCCAAAAAGGTCAACTGACTTTCCTCAAATCTCCAGATGAAGCTTCATCTTCTCCGATGGAAAGTTGGCCAATTGATCGCCCTCACCGTATCCACTAGACCAGCTGAAATCTTCAACGCCTCCGATTTCAGAGTGAAATCACTTATACGTCAAAAGCTCTCACTGAGGCCATGATTCAACACCTAGGAAGACTTCTTCAGCTTGATGAGTGAAAATATTATCTGAGATAGAGCTGCAAGATGAAGACGACCTCACACAAATCACTTTATGGAAAGATTCGTTTAGACGTCCATTTCAGCTCATCATCAATTTTAGAGCATCTTTCTCCGTATCTCATCGATCTTACACGGGATGAGCTCCGAAGAAGCTAATACCACCATATATGACTAGAGAGGTAAGCACCCTAATCTCGATCTTATAACAGAAATGAACGTACTCAACACTTTATTGAGCTCTAAGATCAGCGATTTTAATTTCTTGTTGTTGTAATGTAATACCCTTGTCCTTAATTTGTTTCCTTGTTGTTGTTCATGTCATGCCCTGTGTATCTGCTTGTATTATGTGCATTTCTGGTAAAGCCTTTGTTTTGCATCTTTTGTTATTCTCAAATTTGGGATTTGATTCTTTTCCAATTGAATGATGGCTTGTGCTATTTTTGGTAACTCATGTATGTGAAAATATCTCTTTGTATCTATACCTGCAAAATGAATAGCATTGTTAGTTAAAAAAATCAGCTAGTTTATTCCTTTCTCTGAATGTGTGAATCACCTCCACGTTCCTACTGTGCATTGAAACCTTTGTGCTTTTCACATCCATAGTAAAAATCCAAGGAACGTCCCAAACTCCATCTATGATATTTTTAGTAATCAATGAATCAGTTTAATTAGTTAATGGTAGATAACCCTTTTGAACACAATACTCTAGACCCAGTTTCACTGCTTTCATTCCAGCTTCGATCGCTGAAGCTTCCCCTATTTTCTTTGCTTCAGCATTTATCAGATCACCTTCATCATTCCTAATACAAAATGTCACTGCACTAAGACCGGGATTCCCTTTGCTACACCCATCAGTATTACCTTTAAAAATCCTCCCCGAGATGGTAGTTTCCAAGTCACCACCTTGCAACAATTTAAAGGAGTATACTCTTCCAAATGTTTAACAAGCAGTGGCCAAGTATTAGTTATTTCCTTCAGCCATGAATATCTTACCTTAACCAACAAGTGAATCATTCTATTCACACCTAGTATTAAAGCATGTTTAGACTTGTATTCCAGCAACTTCTGCAAACAGTTTCCAGACACTTCTGAGTGGCGCGGGGAGCCAGAGGGAAAACTTCAGAACTAGGGATGGAGCGCACTGGCTGGCGCGGCGCCCCAGAGCTCAAACTACAGAGCACAAAGTGGGGAGCTCTGGCTGGCGCGACTCCCCAGACCCCTCCCCAGAAATCCCCGAACTTTCTTGCTCATTTTTCAACTCTAAACCCTCTAGATTCAAATGGTTCCTTCCCCAAATGCTTAGATTTGAATACATAACCAAAATATACAAGAATAAACTAAAAAACAACCTTAAATCTCGTTAAATCACATCAAGAACTCCTCCAAAAACTCCACAATCGAGATTCAAACGAAACTTCAACAAAATTCATCAAGAACTCATAAGCTTTTCTTTCAAGAACACAAATACGCCGAATTTAATCATGTTTGGCGCGTGGGTGAACTAACCCAATGCTATGTGATCTCACATATCTCGTAGGGATCAACCCTTGGCGAAATCAACGAGCTTAACTTCAAGAACGCGACAAATCCTTGCTTCTTCTCCTCCTTTCTCCTCTTCTTATCTCTTATCTCAAAACCCTAACTTGTTTTCAATAGCGTAAACTGAATCCTATCAGTTGAGACCCCAACTTAATTACCAAAAACAAATTTAATAAATTGTGTAGTGAAAAGACCATAATACCCTTCTAAAATCCGGTTTTGACTTTCCTTAACTAGACAACCCAACTTTTAATGGCCATATCTCCCTCATACGAACTCAGAATTGAGCAAACTCAGCAGCGTTATTGGAAAGGTAATTCAAAGATCTTTCCTACGGTATCTAGTAGCACACCTAACTCATCATAAGATAGGAGTTATGGTCGTTTGAAGTTGACCCAAAACTCAAGCTTAACATCACTTAAACAAATTTCTAGATTTTTCATTCTTTCCAAAAATGAATCTTTCTAATTCTAACTCTTTCACTTAGGGAGGTGTTACAATATCTCCCCCTTGGGAACATTCGTCCTCAAATGAGATCACTCTAAGTAGACTAATGGTGTAACATCTAATATTCAACTCAAACACCCAACAAACAAATTTAACACATTAAGCATATCAATTAAAGAGTACTAAGAAAAGAATTAGTACCTTGGTCTGGAATTTCTCCTGGATCAAAGAGGTGTGGATGCCTCTTCTTCATATCCTCCTCAGCTTCCCAAGTATCTCCCTTAACAAACTGATTTCTCCAAAGAACTTTGGCCGATGCTACTTCCTTGGTCTTCAACTTGCGAACCTGATGGTCTAGAATCTGAACAGTGATCTCCTCATAAGACAAGCTATCCTTGATACCAATAGCTTCAGTTGGTATGATAAGTGAAGGATCTCCCATGCACTTCTTCAACATGGAAATGTGAAATACCAGATGGACCGCTACTAACTCATGTGGTAGCTCCAATTCATAAGCTACATTACCAATCCTTTTGTATATTCTATAAGAGCCAATATACCGGGGACAAAGCTTCCCCTTTTTACCAAATCTCATAACACCCTTCTTGGGTGAAACTTTCAAGTATACCCAATCATATACCTCAAACTCTAACTCCCTTCTCCTAACATCATTGTAAGATTTCTGATGACTCAGCGTTGTTTTCAACCTCTCTTAAATAACTTTCACTTTCTCCATAGCTTGATGAACTAAGTCTGGTCCTATCAACCCAGCTTCACCAACCTCAAACCATCCAATTGGAGATCTGCATCTTCTCCCATAAAGAGCTTCATACGGAGCCATCTGGATGCTAGAGTGGTAACTATTGTTATAAGCAAACTCAATGAGAGGTAGGTGATCATCCCAGTTACCTTTGAAATCAATCACACAGGCCCTCAACATATCTTCTAGAGTATGAATAGTGCGCTCTGCTTGACCATCTGTCTGAGGATGAAAAACAATACTTAAGTTCACCTTCGAACCCAAACCTTTCTGGAAAGACTTCCAAAACTATGCAGTAAATTGGGTACCTCTATCTGAAATAATTAAAACTGGAACTCCATGAAGTCTAACCACCTCTTGAAGATACAACTTGGCATAATCCTCTACTGAATGGGTAGTCTTTACCGGTAAAAAGTGGGCTGATTTTGTCATTCTATCAACAATCACCCAAATAGAATCATGTTTCCTGCGAGACCGAGGCAACCCAGTAATGAAGTCCATATTGATCATCTCCCACTTCTATTCCGGAATCTCTATATTCTGAGCCATACCACTGGGCCTTTGATGCTCTACCTTAACTTGTTGGCAATTCAGATACTTAGCAACAAACTCTGCGATACCTTTCTTCATACTATTCCACCAATAAACTTCTCTCAAGTCACGATACATCTTTGTGAAACCTGGATGAATGGAATATTTGGAGCTATGAGCTTTCTCCATGATCCTCTCTTAGAGTTCATCCACCCTTGGTACACACAACCTACCTTGATACCTCAAAACGCCATCTCCCTCTTGTTCAAAAGCCATTACTTTTTGCTTATGAACACTTGCCTTCAATTCAAGAAAAATAGGGTCTTGGTCTTGTTTTTCTTTAACTTCAGACACTAATGATGATTCAGCTCCATTAATCACAACTACTCCTCCTTCAGTGGAATCCATTAGGCGAACTCCTAATCGTGCAGGTCTATGTACATCTTTAGCTAACTCTCTCTTTTCTTCCTCCACATGGGCGGTACTACCCATAAATATCCTACTCAATGCATCAACAAAAACGTTAGCCTTACCTGGGTGATAAAGAATACTCATGTCATAATCCTTGAGTAACTCTAACCACCTCCTCTGTCTGAGATTAATCTCTTTCTGACTAAACACATACCGAAGACTTTTGTGATCGGCGAACACATCCACATGAACACTACGACAGCCAATTCTAGGTCATGGGTTGGATAATTCTTCTTGTGAACTTTTAGCTGTCTGGAGGCATACGCTATAA